CATGCACTGATTTGTTATCTTCGCCGTGTGTAAAGTGCATTTTCACTTTGCACGTGCCACTGTAATATGTTCGTCGACAATCGCTTTATGTTATGAGGGTTCTTCCTCGAAAGGGATTGGTTCAGACGAAAGGCACCGCACAAGTGACGAGGTTGCAAGGCCGAAGCACGTGCATAGCACTATATAAGTGCTTATAGAAGACCTCGTGTAATGCTCAAAAAAATGCATAATCAGGAGATAAATAATCATTTTGAGAACTTCGAACAGCGACTTAGCATATTTAATGATCCAGTGTTTTTTCTTGATAAGTAGATCCGAGGCTGTTCACAATAATAATATTAAATAGAGTAGTAATGCAGCGCAATAATGATGCAATGCTGCTTAAAAAGGGTATTACTTGCTACCGTGGAGGTGGAAAATATAGGTGAGGATTCTCGTCACCGAACTTCGGCGCCGTCCTAACAACCCTCCTCATCATTCCATCGCTGCTACATATAATGTATTCGTCAATAATTCCTCATCCTCTTGTACTCTTTACTGCATCTTCTTCGCCATATTATTCCGGCTAAAACAATAGTATCTATGCAAGGGACAATATTAACCATCTTTTCATTCTATTGACTAATCCACATACCTCTGATCACGTAACATCTCGGCTCATCTATGAGAACAAACCAACAGCATAAGGGATCTATCCTCTCCTTGTAGATACTATCCTTCCGTGAGTATAATGTATACTTTTACTTCCACTCATTTGTTAACTCACCTCTTTATGTTTAGAAAGAAGTTCTGTTCTACATGTCATTTGCTCCTTATTATACTTTATGTTTGTAATTCCGGACCTTGCTCCTCATTACACTTTTATAAGTACTTATACAGTACTCATTACACTTTTATGGGTGCTTTGCATATGTAATTCAAAAACCTGCTCCTTATTGCTCAATTATTGAATTTTGATATAATGCCAATTTCATATAATCTTTGGTATTATTCCTATGAGGACTGAGTTGTGGGCAAAAACACTACCTCAGGCGGGAATCGAATCCGCGTTTCATCCTATCCGGAGGCGCGTGCTCTACAACTACACCACCGAGGATCATTTGCCTGACCAGTCATTTTTCAACATTTCAATGCTAAATCTTACAGTAGCTGTCAGCTCAACTGGGTTTATAAATCAAAATCACATACCCGACCAAACCTGTTAAAGGTTGGTGGCTGATACCTATCATAGAGATCTTGAAGAATGAGTGGTGGTGCAAATGTGCCTCGCTGGTGTAGTGGTAAAGCACGTGTCCCCGAATAGGATAAAACGCGGGTTCGATTCCCGCCTGGCCGTATGTTTGCTCCCCACTCAGTTCTCTTAGGGATATGTGAAACATCATAATACTGCGAAAAATGCAGTGAAATACTAGAAATTTCGAATATCTCAAAATTTCAGTAGGAACGACCTGCGACTAACACGCAAGTTGTCAAAGGTGAAGGAAGTCAAGAGATTCGTAGCCGTATCGAATTAACGCATAATCCACCCAATTTAGATGAGGTCTGTATAACAACAACTCAATGTTTTTGTGGAGAGAACGTCTACTTATTGAACATTGCTCATATAGTGTTGCTAGACAGTACAACGATGCTGTTTTTTGAGTCTATGAACATCAACAGTCTTTACATAAGAATATTATTATCCTACTATGCACAACATGTATACAATGAAAGAAACGTCATGACTGTATTCGCTTCCGGATGAGACGAAAGAGATCTATGAGGATGTTGCGCAGAGTTGAGTGCTGACTGCATCGCGTGGTTATTTTATGGAGGCGCCCACTTTTACAGTAAAGATGGTTTGAAAACGACTGGTCATCTCGTCTTCATAGAAGATTTTGCTCAGTTGTTCAACAACTGTGTGACCAAGGAATCTGTAGCCATGCGTTGTTAAAAAGTGACACTTGGAAATTCTATCAATGAATGAGAACCGTGGTGATTAATGATGCTCTGAACAACACAGATCACTGCTGGTTTAACCCTTTCATCCCACTCAATCAACCAATTCCCCAAAAACTGTAGCAGAATCGTCTCGGATTTGATTTCTCTGTTTTTGTGTCGTTGTTTTGCAAAGTCAAGCTTGAATATTTTTGACTGGAATTCTAGACGAGAATAATGAATCTCTTCAAAGCATGGTTGATTTTATTTTGTTCGAAAAAACCGTATACAACGTTATGATAATTAAGAAAACTTTCTCTGTGACCATCTTCTAGCTCATTTAGAAGACACAAATATGGAAAAATGGAATTTATGTAGCATTAGAGATCGAACCACTAAACTCTACGATCGCAAATGTGGAAGTTCTACGGAATCTGCGTTCATCATTCCGCGCAACCACGCGTTGCCCCACGTTTTCAATTCTATGTTCCTCACTTAAAAACTCTGAATAAGAAAAATCCAATATGAAGTCCTAAAATTCATCATTTGCAAATGAATTGATTGAGGATTTTAGCATCGGAAGAACGAGTCTATACCACTTATTCTTAACGCGAAAACAAAATGGATGCGTCTTTTTAAACACCGATCTCTTGAAATTCAAAAGCATTGAAAGGATTACAAAATATCTTGAACTCACATCTGAAAAAAGAGCGAAAGTGGGGATGATAAAGCGCAATTTTGTTAGATATTTTATAGTTGGATAATTGTTAGAAGACAAAACTGCATTGGGAAAAGGAAAACTAATGCAAAGTTCTTTGTAAGTATTTCTAAGAATATTTTTGCACTTTCGGTATCGAGAAAAACGATTTTCGTGTTGAAAACAGAAAGAGAAAAGTTGTCAATGTTGGTAATAAGATAATAGAAATTTGGCGATGAGCACAGAGCTTTGATCGGACACAAAGCGTTATATTGATTGACCGACTGTAGTAAAGCTGGAAAGCTCACCGTCGGTTGCTAGTCGAGCATCCATTGATCGAAGCCTATACGAACTTCAACTAAAAAAGCAAATACATTTTCTCTGCCATACAGCTTTTCTCTATGTGATTTAATTTTCCAGATGTTCAATATCCTTGCTGTACTTATTTTATATACATTTACCCTCTGATTTTTACTTATATTCCACTATTTCTGCTGTGTTTGATGTTTTTTCTATGTGGTTTTTTCAAGCATCTCTGATATACATTAGGCTCCTTACAGTCAAGTTCAGAACAAGTATGAAAGTTTCTAAATAGCCAAATTGGAATCTACTATGATCTCTGTATTGGTTCATAGCCACTGCTTAAAGTGTGTAACTTTCCTGGAAAGACTTTAGTGAAAAAGTTAAATGGTGCTACAACGCCTCATAAATTACAAATTGATAACAATAGTTATCGTGAGCTTTTTGATTCTAGGTAAGGCTAATGGAAGCAAAAAAAGTAGCCTTCAGAAATCAACACGTATGAGTGAAGCGCTCACATTGAGAGATCTCGAAAAATTATTAAGTAATTTAGAAAAATTTCAAAAATAACATTGTTTTGGAAAACCGAAAACTTTATGGTTTGAATCCCGCTTAGAGATTAAGGAAACGTAGTTTTCACATCTGATATATGCTTGAGTGTTTGTGCCAAACGATGCAGTGTTTATAGTTGCTTTGTAGCATATAGAGGGTCATTGATTCGATCTCCTTTCCGGATAGTGTTCAAAGGAAGTGTGCTTTCGAAACACCCTTATGTAAACTAAACTTGCCTCGAAGGTTTCTCCGAATACCGACTATCTATCTAATTTAGCATTGATCAATAATGTAATTGTCTAAGAGGATGAAACATCGAATTTATGCATCAATGGACTTCCGCAACTCACTGGATAAATTATGTCTGTATACCACCTCAACAATGCTTAATGGTGTCGGAGATGTATAACGCATCCCGTAGGGATTCATCAACGCCGAAAGCTATATTTCTCACCTTCCATATTAGCCAACTTAGTGCTATCCTCACGATTTCAAGAATAAGCTAGTGCGTGTAATCGGATATCATGTGAAACCTTAGACTAATCTTTTTATTTTTCTCTATTTCAAATATTCTACGTGGCACATATCCACGTCTACGATGCAGTTCGCATCATTCCTTGCATGCATGCTCATCATCCGTACATATCTTCGGATATTTCCAACTGTGATTTGGATTGCTGTTTAATTATTGTTGTTTTTATATGAAATTCGCTGAGTGCTGATCAAGTGGTCTCTTCCGCAAAGCTTAAGATGGTTTACCATAGACTTCCCATAGACCTTTCAAAGGGAAAGTTCGGCATATGGTTTTGGGCCATAGTGCATAGATTAGAAGTGAAAAGCAGATGAATATAGTATTCTCCTTTGTTTATTTAGTGCCATGTTGCCAAACCAAAAAAATTTGCCTGGGCTTTTGTCACGAAAAGAAGCGAGCGATTGCTTGTCAGATAAAGAAGTCAAGTAATCGGTTAGATTTTGAACTGGGCCTCTTGCATTGGCTCGGATTGGTCCCTGACTAATCAGGGGTATTGCTTAGACATGAGTCACTACAGCCGTGGAAATTTGTAGTCACAAAGCAGTAATCCATAACGAGCACTTATTGCCTGCGGTGAAGTCCTGGGAGCGCTCCAGCACGACAATCTCAGGGTGTCAGAAAAATTACATTCGATAAGCACTCATCGTTACAATCTGTAGAAAAGAAGCCAAAATTCACTGTAGTGTACTTTTCGAGGTTTAGTCAGTTGGTTTTATTCATATCAATCTGTTTTTGTACTGACAACTTTTTCAGTTCCTAGAAAAACTTTCTTGTCTTTCTCCTCAATACCAAACTTTCTTACAGCATACTTTATAATCTTGCAAATTTGGTATATTCATACTTATTACTTGAAGATCATAAACTATTGCAGAATAGAGCATGAAGCTTTTGGCGTCAAACGATCTCCTAGTATACCCAATATGTGGAGTACTGTGCAAAAACGTTTGCGTCAGCCGGGATTTGAACCCAGATCTCACTCTTTCCGAGTGCTGTGCAGAACGAGCGTCGGAAGTGCAATGGTTAGCATGCACACCCGGAAAGAGTGAGATCTGGGTTCGAATCCCGGCTGACGCAAACGTTCTTGCACAGTACTCCACATATTGGGTATACTATAACATCATACCACTGCAAGAGGCAGTCAAATGAAAAGAATCCAGACTGATCTCCTAGTATCCATAAAGGTCGGGCCAGCGCGAGGATTTTACACTGAAGAACTTTACTAGACAGTGCTCTATGCCAAGCGCAATTGCAAAGACCTTCTCTAAAATACTAAAGATATGAGCTGTCCTAATGCAAAGAAATAGATTGTTCCTTTCTCTCGTCCACCTTGTACAACACTCGTCGAAGTCCTCCTCACAAATGTTCTTGTGTGAAAGTCAAATTGAACCTTACTGAAATTCTGCTTCACCTCTTTTAAAGTGTCTTCACCTAGAGCAAAGAAGTGAACCAGTTTTGCAAGTCTTGCTTCAGTTCTTCGAACTCTAAGTATGGTAGACTTGAGGTTGGAACAGTATCAAACTAGCGTCCTTCTCAAATGGGCTTTGCACAATGACTGGCATCGCTATCATTGAGCTGCTCTTTCCCTTCTATAATCGCCTTTCCTTTCTATAATTTTAGAAGTATCGAGATCCGTTGCTAAGAACGGAATCCAGTTTTTTTTTTTTACTTTCCTCCAAATCTTGAATTTAGAAGCCTGAAGTAAATGTGGCAAAAGGGGCGTTAAAATCTCATAGCACTTTTAATTATTAACTGTATCGCGTTGACAGTTGACAGTGTTATCAAATTCGTAGTTAATAATCAATTAACAATGGTCAAAAAAAGCCCGACAAAGGTTTTTTGGGCTATTCGTCCAGAGGAGAAATTGTTATGCTGAATTGCCACTTATATCTAGCGACAGCGTAACATGCAAACGTTGCAGGCTATATTACAGCCGTTAAACACTTTGTTCAAGGAATTTTTCACATGACACGTACTGGACAGTTAATGTGCCATGTCATGTCTTCTGAACGTTTAGCTCAGCCCATTAGATAATCTTATTCAGATTTTTCTCCTTAACCGTCTTAAGGAACTGTGTTATCCGATCATCAACGAAATTAGCATCACTATTAATTCATGCTCGTTAATTCATCGATTTTCCTATTGATTTCATATGGAATTTATATCTTGTGCTGATGGATAGCATTAAAGCCTGCACAGTTTTATATTATAGTAAGTAGATGGATGCATAATTAGTTAGTTGGTGAAAGATCTTTATAACTACACTTCAACGTCGTTCATGGAAAAGACACAACCTCGATGAAGCGATAAACGTGCAGAGATGAATTGAATCATAGAAGCACTCGGATGCTCGGCTCTGCACTCGCTACCTATCAGAATGCAAGGTCCCTATTCAATGGAAAACCAGCAAGACCGTAATGTTGTTCAAAAAGGGAGACCTTTAAGACATAGGCAATTACAGCCCAATCTGCTTGCTGTCCGTTGTCTACAAACTCTTTACTCAAGTCATCCTAAATAGGTTTGACAGAACACCGGACGAAGCACAGCCATGCGAACAAGCAGGGTTCCGAAAAGGATTGAGTACCATAGAACACATCCACATGATTACAAGACTCATTGAAGTTTCACGAGTGTACAAACAACCACTCTGTCTCACTTTCATCGATCTGAAGAAAGCATTTGATTCAGTGAAAACAGAAGCGGTTGTAGAGGCTCTAAATAACCAGGGCGTCCCTACTCGGTACATATCGATCCTTCGTGAGCTTTATAAATATTTCACGACCAAAATATCTCCATTTTACAACAATATCACCATTGACGTAAGAAGAGAGGTTCGATGAGGCTATGCAATTTTGCCAAAACTATTCACTGCCAGCCTACAAAACGTCATGCGAACATTAGATTGGGACGATATGGGAGTGAAAATTGACGGTCGACAATTAAACCATCTTCGCTTTGCTGACGATATCGTTCTCACAACAACAAACATCAACCAAGCGGAACGAATGTTGACCGATTTCGACAACACCTGTGGAAAGATTGGTCTTTAACTAAATGTAGCGAAAACGATGTTCATGAGGAACGGATGGGTTTCGAATGCCCGATTCACGCTCAACGGAACGACAATCTCCGAATGCTCCAGTTACGTCTGTCTCGGTCGTGAAATCAACATGATGAACGACCTAGCTCCAGAGTTGTGCAGGAGGAAACGAGCGACTTGGGGAACGTTTGACAGCATCGAATGTAGTGGAGAGGAGAAGAACGTCCGATGTCGTGCTCACCCTTTCGATTTAGCGGTTATCTCTCCCCTTACGTACGCGTAAAATCTGGTCGCTACGTAAGCAGAATGAACAATCACTCGGCGTCATTTAACGCGTTGTTCGATGCTAGGAGCATCCCGTATCTCGCAATTGAGAGAAAGGGCCCGAAGTTCCGACCTACGTCAACGATCGAAAATCAGAGACGCCGTTCTACACGCCAGGATATCAAAAATAAGGTGGGCCGGACACGTGATGCGCTTCAACGACAACCGATGGACGAGAGCCGTTACCGACTGGATTCCTCGGGACGTCAAGCGCTCTAAAGGAAGACCACTGACCCGTCGGTCTGATTTTTTCACAAAAGCGATAGAAGAAAGATATGATGCTCAGCGAATCCCTAGAGCGAGGAGGACCCACTTTCGCACGCGATAGGGAAAAATGGAAGAGTTGCTGATACCTGCTCGAGTCACTCGACGATCAACGGGACGACAGGTGATACAGGTGATTTATAATTATATATATATATATATATATGCATATATATGTATATATATGTGGTTATATCTTTCGCGTTATTGTATTGTTAATTTTTTTTGTATTCCCATTCGAATTATTGCCAAGAGGCTATGTTATGTTACTGAATGTTCTAGTGGCTGAACGGGGCATTTGGATACGGCCGTTGACCAACCTCTGCACATTGCAAAGTAGGTTCACTACATTTGAGGAAGGTGGGCAGATTCACGGTAACACATCTGCGCATAGCCCTGATTTGCTTCAACAGATTATTACTTTTTTTTGCCTTCTGAAGCAGCATGCGCATAGGAAGAAAAAAGACTACAACCACGTAAAAATGGCCTCACGGACTTCTTAATCTTAAGCCTCATTCTTTTTGAGACGACGGCATTTCGTCTTTGCCCAGAATTAGTGCATATCATCTATGATGGTTGTGATTATATTGCTGATAAATTGACTTCCTCAAATAATTTACGATTGAATTAACAAAACTGTTGAAATGCGGAAAAATTGATATATATATATATATATATATATATATATATATATATATCGCAACACATTTGCTCGTTGATTCGCTCCCAAGCCATTCATTTCTCTGCGGTCGACAAACGGCTACTAAAGTTGCCTTCGAAGATGAAACATTTGTTTACCACATTGCAAAGCTTTCACAAATCATTTCATGAGTCAAATGTATCGATGGCATCAACGATGCCTTTACACATCCGTGATACGACGCCGCGAATGCTGATAAACGCTGAAAGCTTCACATTAAAGTGCGTGCATACATGTATTTCTATAATAGTATTTTATGCCTGGACATCACATGTTGTTCGAATCCCATTATTTCTCTCATTTTGCTATTTGTCTTGCGCCAGTTATAGTTGAAGGCCTTCGGATATGTGCGTTTGTTCGGTTCATTGTCAGACTTTCTCTTCTTCTTCTCACTCTCTCTCTTTCTACTTTACTCTTCTTAATCAGTTCCCTTGAATGCTATAGAGAAAAATTTTATAGAAATTCTGGAATAGTTTTACCTCCATTATCACCACATATAGACATGCCCATCGAAAAGAAGTTTTGAAGCAGGCCTACTACAAGTTGTCAGCCAGGGATGGTTGAGTGACTTCGTTGGCTCCAGGTGAAATCCTTTACCACCGACCATTTGTGTATTACGTGGCAACTCCATCCACTTCACTGAATGTGCTTCGAGTTCCACTCTATGCATTAGTGTGCCTGAGAGAAGTGTGTGAAGAAATGAATTTTTTTAGCAGTTTCTTTTTCTTCAACTCGTTTTATTACTGTGGAAACATACTTATTACATAATTATATATTAGAATAAGATAATTAGGGCAGGAACACTCTATAAATGGGGTGCTTTTCAATGACCTCTCGAATCGGTGTCCATCACTACCATAAAGAGCAAAAAATCTTCATTTTTTCTTCAATAGCTATAGAGATATTTGGGCAGAAAGGGAGCATATTTGAATTAAAGTGGATGCTTTGTAAAAATATAGGGGATTAAGCAATAAAATTCTCAATTTCTCGTATTCGAGGTATGTTTTACCATAATGAATTACATTTTTTCTATTTCTCTAGTTTTTTTTTTTGCAACGTTTGCTCCAATGAGAAAGCCATTAAACGTATGACGCTTATGATCGCTATGACTAACAGCTTTCCCACATTCATCATATTGCCAACAATTTCAGACAATGACCAGAAATGATCGGCGTCTGGAACTATAGGCACTTCATCAAAATGCACTTCTCATGATTAATGTTGAGTGTAACTCTACACTACCAGGTTCCGATTATCTTATCAAAGTGCTGTCTAGAGTAAAAAAGTGAAGACCAAATGTCCAGTAAAACGCCAAGAGCGAACTCTCAAGCACACATTAGCTCTCTAGGCAGACTCCGTGCACTCCCTTCGCAACACTGTAAACGAATTGAATGCATATTAGGCCTGTGATTTCAGCGTCCAACGCAGTCATTGTTTCTACTCTCATACATGAGTCTGGAAAGAGATTATCGACCGTTAAGGAATGACGAGACTGATTTACCCGCGAAACGGGACAAAGCCAAATTCCAAGTGGACATAACGACTCACGTGTAATAATGTGCTGCAAACGTTAATAACTGTCCTTATGGTAAAAAAAAGGTTTTTCTTTGTTAAACGCTAATGAATGAAAAACGACCACTTTCGCTTAACAAAAACTTTTTACCGTAGTGTCAATGATTATTCGAAAGCTTGAATTTCTGACTATTACGCTGCGTGGCCGTTTTTTGAGAAAGCCTTTTTTATAACGTT